AGGAATTCCCCTGTCACCAAACGTAGGAGAACCTACGAGAAGAAGATCTTAGAGAAAGAACCTTAGTAGCCAAGGATACTAATTAAGGCTAAGGGGTAACCCATGTCTCGACAAAACCTATTTTCCTTGCTATATCTTATTCATTGGCTCCTTTGATATATGATTCTGTGCTTGAGTCTTGATAGAGCGTTGCCTATGATTTATATTGTGTATTTGTGTTTATGTGATAATCTTGATGTTCTTGATACTATGATTTATTACATGAACGATCTTGTATTTTGATTATGTCTAGAGCCCTAGAGTTATAACGTGAATTTCGTAGTATGTTATTCTTGGTATGTTTGGGTGGGATTTTGCATGATCGGGTGTTGAGTGAAGCCTAGGACTTGTGTTTAGGACTTTGCATATAGATTTCTTGATGTTCTTGTGATTCCAGATGTCCCTGGATCGTTATGTGATTTGTGTTGAGTCTTGGCATGTTTAGGAATCGTGTTAGGGTGTATTTGGTGTGATTCTTGGTTTGATTCCGTTAATTGAATACGTGGTGTTGTCATTATGTGTTTGAATGTGTTTGGACATGGTTTTGGGTTCCACGAGGGATCCCGGGACCATAAAGTTGCTTGTGTATCAGTGGGGGGGGGGGGGGGTAGGTGGGGGACTGACCTCCCACTGCTCGCCTCTACTATTACAGCGGGTAGCCGGCGGGCGGTGGACTGCCCGCCGGCCACCCGCTGGAATAGTACCCGCCGCCGGCGGGTGCACCTACCCGCTGGAATCCAACGTGGTTCGTGGTGTTTTTCCCCGTTTGATGTTTCCCATTGTACCCCGTTTGTCGTGTGTCAGTCTAGTTTGATATATCGGGTATCGTTCTTATGATAAAAGAGTCTTGTGTATTGCATGCTAGTTGAGTTGGTATCCCGTTGGCCTAGGAGGAAGGTGTATGATCCCGTAGGAGTGTCATGGGTGGGTTAATGTGGTTTGTTACGTATGAGTTATGTTGGGTTAAGTGTTCCTCAATGATTCCCCCTCGTTATGTGTTAATGTGGGTTGCATGTTGTTTGGCTTCTATGTTGTTGTGCATGATAAACCCAATTGGTTGCGATCAATTGGCTATAATGACTATCTGGTTGGTTGAGAACAACCAGGTATTAACCCGACCGGTTGCGATCGGTCGGCTATACAGGCAATTGGATTGGTTGAGAACAATCGGCTGTGATATATATATATATATATATATATATATATATATATATATATATATATATATATATATATATATATATATATATATATATATATATATATATATATATATATATATATATATATAGGGCTACGGTTCATAATCTGGTTGCGATCAGACATATATGATAATAGGGTTGCGGTTCATAGTTTGGTTGCGATCAAACATTTATGATACAAATGGGCTGCGGTTCATTGATTGGTTGCGATCAATTTCCTTGTGCTGCGGTACAAGTTAAAGTGCTGCAGGGCCATGTCAGGGCTATATGCACTGACCCCTTGGCAATGGAACTCAAGGTTCGGGTCATGTGAATCGTCCTGCGGCACCACCATATGTGTGTACACCAATACGTGTCTTGTTGTTGATTGTTTGACTATGATGATAACTGGATATTGATAGGGTTGGTATTGTGTAGTCTTGTGACCTTAGGATGCATGCTAGAATCTTTATGTTTAACTGTATTGAATGTTTCTGCTATTGCTTGATTGAGTCTGTTCTCGGATTTAAATTAGAGTTACGTAAGTATATATGTATTCCCGTTTCAAAATGAGTTTCTTATATCTACCTATATTGTACTTAACGCGTTGGAGTGGGTTACCAACATCATTCGCTGACGGTTGTTATACCGAATGTTTTTCAGGTAATGAACCGTAGCTTCGGAGCGCACTAGTCAGAGCCTGGGCTTAGTTAGAATAGTTCAATTATCGGCCTGTGCCTTAGAGTTGTATTGAATATTGAATTAAGGATTTCTTATGTTTGGATAGTTTAGCCTGTGCACCTAGGTTCTCAAATCTAGGTTTGGCATAGCACCCCGACTATCACACTTAGTTCATGCTCTGTTTCGGAATTTATATTGGAATTACCTTTATTATACAAGTTTTAAAAGTTTCAAAAATTTGGGGTGTTACAAAAAGCCGTGGTAACAGAACCCTAATGGTTTAATTTTTATGGAAGATTGTAGTGATGCGATCGAGAATAATAACGACGGTAGTTTTGATAATTTTGTAAGATTTTCTGAAACTTAGAGTTAGTATGTCGACTTCGAGATTTGTACATGTCATTCAAGTTTTTATGTTTTTTTAGCAAGCAATGTTAAGGGTTTAATTTACGTGGTTCACTGGGCAAAACAACAATCAAACAAAAGCTAAATCAAATTGAGGGGTGAGGACGTTGTAGATGAATGTCTTTTCTCATCCTACTTTGTCTTTTTTCTAGAGAGTGTGGGAATGTAATGATGAGGAAAGAGAAAAAGGAAATGGAGAGATTTTTTTTTTTTTTTTGTTAACCAGAAGTTTCTATGTTTTTTATTATACAAATTTATAATTGTATATTTATATTAATAAATAATTATTAAGACAAGTATAATTTATTTTATATTGTGGACACATTATTTTTAATAAATTTGATTTAATAATATTATACCTTAATTATAAAAATTCTACCTAATAATTTTAGTATTAAATGTCATACAATAATTACCATAAACAATGTTTAATAATTGACAAATTATATTAGGCAATAAAAATTACTAATATAAAATATTTGGTAATATGTACACATTATTTTTAATTATTTCGATTTAATAATATTATATCTTATTTATAAAAATTTGAAATAATACTTTTAGTACCATTGAATATTGATTGACTAAAAATTATCTTAGTTATTAATTAAGGCAATTAATAGGTATTTAGCTTTTAAAAAATTTCAAATATATGAATTATATATAGTAGCATGGAATCAATTAATAGGACAATTATATTAGGTAATCTAATTAATAATTTACCTTTTAAATTATATCCCCTTTTTAATAATGAATGTTTCCTTAAAGTATATACATAGACTATGCTTATCAATATAGAATTAAAAGTGTGTGTGTGTGTGTGTATATATATATATATATATATATATATATATATATATATATATATATATATATATATATACTCAATATATAATATTATTAGTACAAAATCAATCATACTTGTCTTAATAATTAATTATTAATATTATTTCCTAATAATCATGTATTGTCACTTTTTTCGGTGTTATTATTATTATAATTATATACATATATATTTTTATACTTAATGTATAATAACATTGACACAAAATAAGTTATACTAACCTTAATATATAGATTATTTTTTAATATAATTTCCTAATTTTTATTAAAGGTAATTATTCTCATAATTTTTTCCTTCTTTTGTGTAATTATTATGGTAATTTTATGGTAATTTATTTAAATATTCGAAGAGAAAAAAATGTTATAATTGATATAATTAATGAAAATATTATGGTAATTGTCACAATATTTGGTAATTATACTTAATATAATTAATGAAATTGAGAAATATAAGATTTCTTTCGTATAAATATTTGTGACAATTTCATAAGAATTATAATTAATAAAATATGAAATATAATTAAAGAAATGAAATTATAAATTAACAAAACATGAATATTTATAATTTTTTAAATATACATACTTACACGTTTTAAATTTTTAAATATAATTTTTTTAAGTATAAATCTTTCAATATAAATTATATTTAATGAAATTATATTATAGAATTTTACTATATACATATTAATAAATATTATGTGTATATACAATGTATTATACAATCATATAATGATATGCATCCGATTAGAGTTTATATTTATTCATACAAAATTTAGAATTTACATATTTTTATTAATTTCTAAGTACAATTCTATTAGTTATTATTATTCATATTTTTAGAATTATAATATATATGAAATACAATTTGGAATAAATCAACTTAATTATTATATGATTTTTTTTTATATAAATTTATGTACATGATTAGAGATTATATTAATCATACAAAATTTTAATTTTAATTTTGTATGTTATGAAAATAGATATTTGACCAAATATATAAAAGTCCAACTATATATTATATTGTACATTTTAACATCTTTTTATTTTTTCTATTTTAATTTTAAATTTATAATAACAATAAAATTTACATTCAACGCACGGGTAAAACACTATATTTTAAAAATACAATTTGATAAATATCATAAATTAATTAGTACAATATCATTTATGTTTATAATAATTAAAGAAAAACAAATAATTCAAATATGTGAACCAATGATTTCAAAATGAAATTAATATACAATTACAGATAAATATAGCATGATTGGATTTACTTTAATTAGTTTTAATTTTCTTATTTACTGCTTGGTTCACGAAATAGACTTGGAATGACATAGCATTCCCAGTAAAAGGCTTATTCATCTGTTTAGTAACCACTTAATATATAACAAATCTTATAATTTCAAATAAATGTGTACTTTAAATATTAGAATTATTTATAATTTCATTATTTAAATATGCAATAATAAAAAAATTTGTGTATCGTATGAGTAATTTACTAATTTTAATTAAAACTGTTTAATGACTTATTGTTTATACATTAATTTTATTTGAAAAAATAGTTGTCTTATAGATTCTTGAAGTCTAGGATAGTTATCCAGAAAAAAAAAAAAAGAAAAAAAAAAAAAGAAAAAACAAAAGTAGAAACTACTGGGTTTTTGAAAAAAAAAAAGAAAGAAACTGCTACGTACGTAACTGATAACTCCAACAGAAAAACAGAAGTTTCTGGAGCCCGGACCAGGCGCGAAAACACTGCACCAGGCATCTTCTCGTGCCTTCCTTAATCCAAAATACCCGGTCCCACCACCGACCCGACCCGTCTCCAAATTTTATCCATTTTTTACAACTTTCCTTCTCTCTCTCTTCCCCCGAAAATTCTCCATTCTTCTTTATCAATCATCCCCCACTGCCCCCGCTCCATAAATACTCACACCTCACCTCCGAACCTTCTAGAACATCCATCGTCTTCTTCCCATCTTCCGCTAAGCTCCCCTGTCTTCCCCCTCTCCGAAGCTTCGGCGGCGACCGGCGACAATCCCTAGGTACGTATGTGCGAGTCAGAGCTCTACAGTAGCTCCACGTATTCGTGTTCTCCTTTTCTGTGCATGGTTCAAAATTCAGCATATGAAGATTTAATGAACGCAGCAGCGAACTGAATTCATACTTCTACTTTCCCCGTTTGATGTTCTTAACGCGCATTAATGACGACGTTAAATGTTTGGCGTTGATGTTTGACTAAATCCTCATTGAAATTCTATCCAAAAGTTTCGTATTTCTATGTATTCTTCTTTCTTCCTTTTCTGGACGAGTCAAAAGCGTTGAATTAATTGAAGATTTCCTTGGCATAATCTAGAATTTTCTCGCTCGGTATTTCCACGGAGGCGTTCTGATCTTTTACAGGAGTAATTACGGAGCAATATTATTCTGTATTTATAATCTGACTGTTTTGGGGGGGATTTTTATTTTTTAGGATTTGGATCTGCGTAACACTTTACTGAATGCTATGGGCCCGTCGCCGGCGGAACAAACTGGCGAATCTACAGCTGGAGAATCTCAGAGATCGCTTCCGACGCCGTTTTTAACGAAGACGTACCAGCTGGTGGATGATTCATCCGTGGACGATTTGATTTCGTGGAATGAAGATGGATCTGCGTTCATTGTTTGGCGGCCGGCGGAATTCGCCAGAGATTTGCTTCCCAAGTATTTTAAGCATAATAACTTCTCCAGCTTCGTTCGCCAGCTCAACACCTACGTAAGATTATATTCTGAGTTGCGGAAATAGTAGTTCTCCTCATTTCGTGGTATTTTATTTTGATTTTGATTTTGATTTTGGTTTTAGGGATTCAGGAAAGTGGTGCCTGATCGTTGGGAGTTTATGAATGAGTCTTTCCGGCGAGGCGAGAAGGGACTTCTTCGTGATATTCAGCGCCGCAAAATCTCTCCTGCTTCGGCGGCGGCGTCGACATCAATGGCTGTTGCGGCGAATGCCGTGACCGTGGCTGTGCCGTCGGCTGTAATAACGGTATCTCCGGCGAATTCAGGCGACGAGCAAGTTCTGTCATCCAACTCGTCGCCGGCGGCGACCGCTATAGCTATCCGCCAGGCGGTGCTTACAGCGGCGCCTGAAATTCTGGAGGAAAACGAGCGTTTACGAAAAGAGAACGCGCAACTCTATCGAGAACTGAATCGGTTGAGGGGTTTGTGTCACAACATCTACAACATGATGTCTAACTACGCCGTGAATCCGCCGGAATCGACCTCCGGATTACCTGACGGGCGGACGTTGGATTTCCTCCCGGCGAGTCAAGGCGCGGCGGCGGAACACGAAACCACCGCAGAAGACGAAGCTGTTAAGGCGGAGGACGACGGGACGACCCCAAGGCTATTCGGCGTCTCGATTGGCGTAAAGCGCTTTAGGGAAAGCGAGGACGTGGAAGGCGAAAGACAAACGCAATCGCAACCGCACGGATCCGACATGAAAACAGAGCCGTTGGATTGTGGGTCTGCCGATAATGGTCCCTGGCTAGATAACAGATTGTTATAACTCATAACAGCGAAGTTTCCAAAGATTTTAACATTCCACAAATTCCTACAAAATCAAGAATTCCGTGGCCCTACTCCAGCGGTATAAGTGATCCAACGTTATTTGTTAATGGTTATTGTACTTTTAAGAATATACATATATCATATTTATTAGCACAAAAGTGAATGATCAAAACCAAATTTATTAATGATGGATCATTCATTTTTCCTTATGCATAGTGCAAGACTGCAAGGTAGAAGTCTGCATCTACTCCATGCAAAAAACAAAGATAGTCAGGTTGTTTTTATTACTAATTTAAGTATAGAAAGGCAAACAGTCCTTGTTAGATTGATGCATAATACAATCAAGCTAAGTTTGTTTGTATCTTGATGATATTTTGATAAGCGGTTTAATGAGTCACGAGTTAAAAATAAAAATGTTAATTTGAGTTTGCCTCAATTAGTTGAATTCTAATGGCTTTTGATTAATCAAAAGTGGAATAATTCTAATTCCAATAGTTGATTAATCAAAAATGGAAAATTTCTAATTCCAAAATTTGTCGAGGAGTTTTGCAAGTTTTGAAAAAGAAAACATGTCTCATTAGAAAAACGTTTGATTATATTGATGGATAATTAAGAGGTACAATTCAGACAGATATTTGAGCAGGAAAGCAGACGGAGTGGTGTTGATTGATAGAGGAGCTTCTAGAAGTGAGGGGAGAAAGGTGGTGGCTGGTGGGGACCAAAAGATGTGGTGTGTAAGTGTGTTCTTGTTTTACGTGGTAGTGATGATGTTAAATTTACGTCAATAAGTTTCGCAAGATTTTCATATTGTCGATCACTTGATTTATCGTTCGCACTCTATTAGTAGTGTGAAGTTCGACTCTCATCACCACCTTACAGCATGTTTCATTCATGAAATAGATTGGAAATATAATAACATTTTTGGGATTGAACTATTCTCTTTATTTTATTGTTTGTGTTAATCTTTTATTCATGGAAAATAACATTCTTGAGATTGAACTATTCTCTTTATTGAGAAATGTGCATTCCTAGAGGGTCCCTAATATTAACTATTTCCAAACACTCGAGAATAACTTTTGTATTATACTTTGTAATACCAAAAGTAAGATTTAGGGCATCCTCAATAAGGGGATCTTGTCACATTTTAGAACAGTAAAATTTGCTTGTGTTGAATTTTGACTAGGGCTGTGCAGTCGGACGGATCGGACGGTTCGGATTGCGGAATGAGACCCCCGGCCGGATTTCGGATTTGTCTTTTGATCACCCTAACCGTTTTTTTTGTTGACCAATCCGATCGGTTATAGTTATTTTCGGATTGTTTCGGATCGGTCGGATATCCGAGTTGTAAATCGGTTTTATGAGAATGTAAAAAATTTAAAAATTCAATTATTCATGGATGATGGAACACCTAAGTACCTAACTAATGAACTACTTAAGTACTAAAAGCCACTAACTAGTAATTACTAACTACTTAACAACAAAATTAAGTAAATAACATAAGTAAACTTATAAAAGTGTAAACATATAATGAGCAAAATACAAATTAGCTTACATATAATCTACATTCAACAGATTAGTTACAACTTAGAAAGTTAGAAGTTACAAAATTAAAGAGAATTATAATTGTTCATAGCAAGCACTCCAAGCAGGCAAGTTGCAACAGCAGCACTGCATCAGTCTCCACTCTCAAATCAGCAGTCAGCACATCAGCAAAAGAAAGCCAGATATCCAAAACTCCAAAAGCAATATATGAATATATGATTAATATAATATAGAGTACTCTATGTCTATTCTTCTTCCTGATAAGTGAACACATAAAAACACAATAAGTTCAAAACATTTGTAGTTAGTTAGAATTGACACAATCACACAAACTGAAACTGTAAAGACTAAGACTCTAAGAGTGCTCAGATAGCTTTTTTTCCATATCAAGTTAGGATTGGGGGCACACTACTCAATGAGTATGGCATAAACACCACACTTCAAAGGCAACATACCAAACCCAATTCTATATATTCAGAGAAATGGTGGAAGCATCATCATAGCAGAATAATACTTATGCTTAGACAACTAATGAATTATATTTAAATAGCAAAGACTCAATGAGTGCTCAGATACTTTTTTTTTCCATATCAATTTAGGATTGGGGGAACACTACTCAATGAGTATGGCATACACCACACTTCATAGGCAACATACCAAACCCAATTCTATATATTCAGAGAACCTGGTGGAAGCATCATCATAGCACAATAAAGAACATTTATACATGTATAAGTGTATAACTTATAAGTATAGTGAGTCAGAACTCAGAAGATTTAGACATTTAGTCAGTATTTAACTATTTATACTGATACCTGAGCTCAATGGCAGCAACATTTAAAATGTTACCTAGCCATGAGCACTTTCCAGTTTCCAGTTCCAACTTCCCAGCCTCACTTGGGACATTGATTTGAATCATTGATACACATACATGATACACTGATACAGTCATATAGAGGCATAAATTTATCATGAAATCAAATAAGTAAATAAGTAATCACAAATCAAATAAGTAAATAAGTAAACATACAACAATTGTAGGCATTCCAGTTCCAGTGCTGGATGTGCAGCACAACTCTGCAGTACAAAAACAAAATGGAAATTCAATAAGTAAATTGTAAATAAGTAATCACAAATCAAATAAGTAAATAAGTAAACAGATCATTTGAGTAAACAGTTAGAAGTATATACCTTTCTCTATCCTTTCAACATCTTCAATATTTTCTTCAATTGAGATTGGTTGGTTGCTTAACCTTAGCCAATCCTGTGCACACACCAATGCCTCAACAATTCTAGGAGTTAGGGAACTCCTAAAGGCATCAAGTACCCTTCCACTTGTACTGAAAGCTGGTTCTGAAGCAACAGTTGATATTGGAACAGCTAGAATATCCCTTGCCATTTTAGATAAGACAGGGAACCTTTCAGATTGTTGCTTCCACCATCTTAGAAGGTCAAATGAATCATCCTCATCCACAATAACCTCAGAGAGATACACTTCCAACTCAGTTTTTTTCCTAGACAAATCCCCACTCACTAATTTTTGCTTCTTAATCTGAGATTTCAGTAATGATTGAGGTCTCCCAACAGAAACAGAATCAGATATTGTTATTGAGGGAGAAAATTTTTCAGATTGTTCAACAGACTGGACAGGGAAGCATGCAACATAATCTTCAAACAACTCCTTAAGGCCAACAATCACCTTATCAAACATTGTTTTACCTTTTTCCTCACCATATAACTGGTTAAACTGAATGGGCATATACTCAATTTTGTCCCTGGGTCTAAGATATTTGCATAGAATATCAAAAAATTCATTTTTTCAGGCTCACCCCAATACTTATCAAATTTTGCCCTCATATTTTTACCCATCAGTTTAACACTATCTTCTGTAGCTTCCTCCATATTTTTCAACAAGCAAGACAAATCAGAAATCTCAGAGAAGAAGGTATTAGAAGTCACATACAATGATCCAGAAATCCTAACAGTCATTTCATAAAAAGATTTCAGAATCATAACCAAAGATTGAATGGATTCCCAATCTAAGAAATCAGGTACACTTCCACCCAAATCAGATTTAAATGAACTGTCATGATCATCATAGGCTTCAAATACCTTCTAAAACAGTAATGCAGTATTAAGCATCATATATGTGGAATTCCACCTTGTAGGGACATCTAGACACAGAGAATTTTTTGCTTCCACCCCAATTAGATCAGCTAGTGATTTAAACTTCTGCAACCTAGCAGGTGAGCTCCTCACATACCTAACAGCATCCCTGACTTTCTTAACTGAACTGTCACATTCTTTCAACCCATCCTGTACCACCAAGTTAAGAATGTGAGCAATGCACCTCATGTGCAAATACTTACACCTAACAGAAGTACAACCCCAAGAACCCAACTTCTTCTTCAAGAAACCTAGGGCAGTATCATTGCTAGAAGCATTATCAACTGTCACACTAAACACTGATTTTAGACCCCAGTCCAAAAGGCAACTCTCTAAAGCCTTTGCAATACTTTCCCCCTTGTGGGAATATATAGGAACAAATGAAATAATCTTCTTTTGCAGCTTCCACTCACTATCAATGAAATGTGCAGTTATGCACATGTAGTTTATTCTCTGGACTGAGGTCCAAGTATCAGTTGTGATACTTACCCTCTGACTGCTAGTCCTAAAAAACTTCTTCAAGTTGACCCTCTCATCAGAAAATATCTTGAAAATGTCCCTACTGATAGTCCATCTTGAAGGGATTTTAAACCTAGGACAGCAAACTAAAACAAACTTTCTAAAACCCTGTCCCTCAACAATTCTAAAAGGAAGTTCATCTAAAATAATCATCTCAGCTAAGGCTCTCCTTATCAAGTCCTGATCAAACACCCAAGTACCCAACACCCCTTCAGTTCCTTCACTACTTTGAGTTCCAGCAGAAGAAGGTGCAGGTTGGAATGTGAGTAGGGACTGCCTTGTCTCCTTAGAGTGAGGATTTTTAAGGCAGTTTACCACATGAAGTCTTAGAGATGAAGTCCCATGTTTCTTGGTCTCACAGCAATGCACTTTTGCACAATATATACACTTTCCTTTTATGACAATGCCCTCACTGTCTTTGATCTTTTCAAAGTGATCCCAACATGGAGCCCTGGATTCAACCTCTTTCCTTTTCTTTGGAACAGGTGGAGGCAAAGGCTGCTGAAACTGAGGAGTAACAGTTTCTACAGCAGGTGCTTCCAACTCAGGTTGGGTTCCAGATACACCAGTAACACCAGTCCCACCACTAACACTTTCCATCTAAAAAGGGGAAAGTATCAGTGACACAGAATGGGAAATCACTCATTCAAAATCATCAACAGAGAATGGGCTTTGTCAATTGGCACATACACACATGTATCAATTAAAGTGTTAAACACTTAAACAGGCAGAATTCAGTGAATTTTACATTTCATCATGTATGCAGAATTGCACATAAATGATTTAAGGGTCACATATCCATAAACTTACAATTTCACAGTTACAACTTACAACAGTTACAAGTATTTACAAGTAAGTAACTAACAACTTACAAATTACAATTTACAATTTACAATGAAATCCATAATCAGGCATTCAAGCTAAGTAGGTGTATGCTACTTCATATGCTCATCATTTATATGGATTTCAGTCACACACTCCCACATTTATATGGCTTCCACCAAAATACCATCATGCTTAACATTTATATGGATTTCAGTCACACACTCACACATGAGTACAAGACAGTGAGACACACTCCCACATTTATATGGCTTCCACAGAAATACCATCATGCTTAACATTTATATGGATTTCA